TTCCCAAAACCCTGGAAGGAGGGTAGCAGTAGCAGAAAAGTTTTAAGTTTCCTTACAGCTCTGCTGCTATGCTAACAACAAAACCTGCAGCCAGCAGCAGGACTGATCATCCGCATCACAGGCGTGCCTTTCTGCCACATAACCTATTGCCATCTAACCCTTTCTAATCCTAGTGTTCTTGGAAAAGCAGCAGTGTAATTAGCTAAACAGCATTTGCTTTTTAGCAACAATGAAGTCTTGTATTCTCTATAGGCATTTTAATTAAATTATTGTTCACAGAAAAGAGCAAGGAAGATGACTGCATTTCCCCAAAGGAAGTCAAGCTAAGCCTGGCCTGTTCTTTGCTTTTCCCTGCATTATTTGGGTACACGTGTGCAGAGTTTGTTTTGGGGGTTTTGTTGTGTTTTGGTTTTGGGGGTGTTTGTATTGTTAAATAGACATTTTGGTGTTATTTTCTCTGTCTTAGACCATTAAGGGTTACCAGACCACAGCTGCCCAACATTAACCTGGCATCCTAGGTTCTGTTTTCTCTTGCAAACCCTCAAATTAGCGCTGTCCTGAACCATCCTCTACTACAGTTCTGCACTTTGTAATGCATCCATGAACACTGTAAAACCAAAATTACTGTCTTCCTGCTCCAAGTGAAGTTTTAACTCTCCATCGGGTACACTTGATGCCAACAGAAAAGGCATTTAAAAAGAAAAACTCAACACTAACTAATATTTTCAGGCTACTTGCGTCTCCACTTTTCCAGAGAGATGTCTAGGTTTAGCCTGAGGTTTACAAAAGTAAAGGAGAGGTTTAACGCACTAGTTGCAAAGTTACTTGGAGCCCCCTGACAAAATTGATGTTTGAGTTCTGTAACCGTTTCTAACCTTATCCGAATATAATTCCTTGAGGGGAAAAACACTGTTTTACAGTTGTTTGTCTTAGCCACTACGAAAACCACACAGAAGTATCTTGGCACACCGTGAAAGCTTGGCAACATTTCTGCAGCACACATTTTCCCCTGCTCAATTGCGAGTGTGTAGGTTTTTTTAAGAAAAAAAAAAGTTCTAGAAACAACACCTTTATTGTTTCAGTGACACTTGAGCATAAATGGAAGGAACATATCTGGTGAGAAGGGGAACTGGGTCGTGCTTTAACAACATGTGCAGGATGTTTGCTAAGGTTCCAACTACACACAAAAAGCATTTAACCTTTACCTAAGACACCTTTGTTAAGGAAATGAATAATCATTTGCATTTTATTTGCCTGTTTCAGCAAGCCGTGACACTAATTTGCACATGCTATTTCCTCTCATCAAGTATCAAAGCATAACATGATCAAGATCTTAAAATACCTACCTGATGATTTTGTTACAAGCTTAGCAAGTCTCTTAAAATTCGGAGGTTTTTTCCCCACAACCTTCCTACACACACACACTCCAAGCACTGTCACTCTTTGGCCATGCTGCTGAAACCAAAGACAGCAGTAATTATGGTGGCTATTTTCATAATATACACACCCTGCCAGAAAATGGACTCTGGATAGAAACTTCAGGTAAGACAATAAAAAAATTAAGTAAAACAAACCAACCTGCTGCTACCATGCAATAAAACTGATTTAATAAGGAGAGAGCAAACAACTACCATCCCAAATCAAACCCTGAACTAGAAATGTACTTTTGACACAGTGAAACCAGGAGGTGGCTGCAAAAGGAACCATTATCAGTAGCCTAAAGTAATAGTCTCCTGGAATTTTAAAGCAAAGGACTCCTGGTATTTTGCAGGAATTTGAAAATCCCAAGAACTGCTCATCATGACTAACCTCAGAGGTGGGATGGCAGAGAAGGGACAGAATTATTCTGATGCAGTGTTTGTGTAGTTGATAGCACATACCTGGCTACTGGAAGACAGTATTTCCAGGGTAATTCAGTCATATCTAGGGCCATGATAGCCTGGAAAAATCACTAGCGCTATGGAATTTCTCGACATCTTTTAAAGCTGAACCCCTAAGTTTAGAGGAAAAAAAAAACCCACTAAAAAATAAAGCACACTGGAATCTAGATTCAAAAGGATATTCAAAGTAAAGAACCCTTATTTACACTTGAAAGTACATCCATACAGCACTGTTTCCATACCTAGAAACACTTTCTGCTAAATTTCACACGACCTTAGTGCTCAGCAGTTTTGCACGACTGGCCCTTAAATACAATTTAATTCCCTGGGGGGGCAGCGGGGGGAACAAACCACAACAAACAAAAAAAACCCCAACACCAAAACAGAAAAAAGCAAAATGTATACAGAGTGCTAAAATAAAAATATATTTTATCAACAGCACGAGTCCTAATGCATATGGATTTTGAGATATTAGTGATGAGGACTGTTTGGCTATTCAGTGCCAGAAAAACCCTTCCAACCCAATTAAGCTAATGCCAAGCATATTTTTCAGGAATCACAATGGAAAAGATGTCAGCTTTCTTACTGAAGAAAACCAAGACCCATTTACAGAAGCATTCTACACAAATAAAGGGGTTTTAAGCATTTTATTTGTCCATTTGGGATGATTAGTATTTATGAGCAACAACATAAATCTATCCCTCAGTGAAAGACCTGACAGCTTGTTATTGCCAAACATATTACAGCCTGCTGAAGGGTGAAGAATTGCAGACATATGAAGATGAATAACATTATATCAACATTAAATCACTTACTCTGTTCATAACAGTTTAATTCTCTAACATCATAAATTAAGATTAGGGAAAAAAATCAGCACTTCCAGTGATAAAATACATTGTGTTTAATAAACTGTACCATTATATCGTGTACTATATTAGTGCATTAAAATGTAAAAAAAAAAAATTAGAAGAGCTCCTTTGGAATAACTGTATCATTGCTGACTTCTCACAAAAAAACACAGCTTGCAGCCATACAAGCTACCAGGAAGTCTCCAAGAAGTATCCCACTAGAAAAATCCATCACAGCTAAAATTAGTTTATTCTGAGAACTACTTCACCTATACTCCTATTACTTGAATATGAGGACCTAAAATTAGATTGCTTCGTTTCTGAATTTACCAGTGACATCTCCTCTGAAATCAAGCAAGTAATGAACAGATTTGCATATATAATTCAACAACCAAATGAAACTGAAGTGGAAAAATGGATTTCATTTTTCACCAGTTAAGTAAATAGTTACACTTAATATTTGGAAGCCTCCACACGAGTTTACCTGTTTGGAACATTGTTCAAGGTTACTAGCAGGTCTGAAACTTGCATGTATGAACGATTCACAACCAAACAATAGCACTATCAGTATAATTGCTAAAAGATAAAACATTTTATTTATTAGAGATGGAATTTTAAGATCTCTTCTCCAAAAGTTAATTTGGAAGATAACCTTTATAAAAATTTTCCAGTAATTATTTGCATAACAAACTCTATATTAGATAACAGTTCAAAGACTGAAGTTAACACTTACTGGAACTAGCCTTCAAAATAAAGTGGATCAGAACAATAATAAATTGAAAGTATAAATTGAAGTATACTGCAAATCTGCTTCTCAAAGATATTGCCTGCTACAGATAGCGTCGTACAGCTATTAGTGCCTTGTCAAGTCTGCGAACTACCTGCTTGTCAATTAATTAGGATGTGAATGTGAAAAGTAGATGGACACAGGAATCATACTTCGTTACGGCAACAGACAATCTCCATTCAAACTGACCAACATCAAACAAGAAAAATTCAGAAGCCAGATGAATTCAGAATGTGTGTGAAGAAAATACCATTCAGTACCTCATTCTATTAAATGATTTTTTTTTTTTTGGTAGCACACTAACTTGGAAAAAAAACAATAAAGCAACAGCAAAACAGACTCTCTCCTTTCCCAAGGATCTGAAATTCCCTCTGAACTTCACTCCATGATGCCTAGGAAAAGTTTAAAACCAGACACTATTGTGTAAATACCACTGCCTGGCACACTCCACAATTCTCTCTGCATCCACCTGCTGTCACTTACCTTATGACTAGACTGCAATTTCTTAAGGCTATTTTTAATTTTATTTTATCCCAGGACATATATTGCCCTTGTGCTACAGTATCCATATCACTAACCCCTTCATTGGAAAGGAGGTAGTTTAGAATTAAGGCCCATCCTGCACTGTCTTACCAGCTGTAAGGCACACTTCCATTCCACTGAAAATATGATCTCTTTTAAGGCTGTTAATGACAGTTGGAAGACTTAATTAGAAGCAATCAAATGCACCTGAAATACAGTAATGTCCTAGCAGAAAACCAGACAAAACATGCTTTTTTTCATAGAATCACAGAATGGTTTGGGTTGGAAAGGACCTTAAAGACCATCTAGTTCCAACCCCCCTGCCATGGGCAGGGACACCTTCCACTAGACCAGGTTGCTCAAAGCCTCATCCACCCTGGCCTTGAAGACAGCCAGGGATGGGGCATCCACCGCTTCTCTGGGCAACCTGTTTGTTCTAGTGCCTCACCACCTTCACAGTGAAGAGCTATAGAAAACCTAGGTACTTCATCCAAACAAAATTTGAGAATGACAGACCTAACAAAGTATGGGGCGACTGGCTCATAAAGCTTACTGGCAATTAATTCTTTCCTTCAGAGTGAAAGAAACAGACACAATCATCTAAGTGTTAAAAATATATCTTGAGATGCTGCTATCTTCTGTTAACTTCTAAAGTTATTTTAAAATAAGTGAGCTGGGAAGTTAAGATGTTGTTATCAATAAAGAGATTTAAATCCACTATTTTGTTTTCATCATTACCTTGAGCTAAAATTTACGCCAAAAAAATCAAAGGGCAAAACCTTCATAGCAACCAGAGGATAAAGTTACAGTCATGTTGATACCTACTCAAGTAAATCTTTAACAAATAATAAGGTCATAAGTCAGATTCCTTGCCGACAGATCAATGTCAGCATAGCATGATATTTGAGCTGGCTCTTATTCAAAGTAATAAGAGAACTGGGTTCTCCAAATGTAAAAGCCACCTCAGCTAGCTTCAACATGAAAGTTGTCAAACTGTGCAAACTCAAACGAGCGAGTTCCAATAGCAGCCCAGCCGTTACTTGGTTTAGAAATGGTGACATTCTCCCAGAGTGGATAACCATTTAACAGTCCTGAGGCAGAAGTGCCCTGTAAAACAAGAAAAAATCCAGTGATTAAGTATGTTGACACAAAGCCTACTCACATGGGAGAAGAGACAAGATGTCAAGTCAACTTTCAACCACGTTTCACATGTTTTCCATGCAGAGGTGCTTCTAAATATTGCATAAGACCTCCAGTGCCTATCAGCTCTGTGAAACAGATCTAATGCTTTTACAGCAGATATAAAAGGCTCATCTTCCCTTAACTCACAGCTTTGAAAACTCAGCATAGAATCTGAAATATAAACTGTTTTTCCTCTTCCACTTGTGTCAGGCTCCCTCAAAACAGCCCAACCGTCATAAGGGGATATGATACACCTGGCACTGATTCTGCAGAATTAGACAAAATCAAAAGGAAAGATGTATCTTAGCCATTAAGCTGAGAGGAAGAGTGGACAGCAGAACTTGCAAGTATCACGTTGCCATTAAAATTAAAAACAGTTTCAGGAAAATTTATCTTGCCAATGTTCCAATAAATAGTATTTATTGGGGGGGGGGGGGGAAATAAAAATGTACTTCGGTTTTCTTGTATTTTTTAATCTGAAAGAATTGCAGACATAGGTAAAAGCAAAGAATGCCTTTCAAGAAGAATGCCTCTCAGCGTAAGAATTCATTAAAAAGGGCTCTGCGTTTCTGTTGTTACATGAAAGGCATATTTGGTACAAAATACTTTAAACAGTATAGATGGAAATTTGTAGTATCACCATTTTAAAATTACCACCACTGTTTTTTGTTTCAAACAATTTTATGCTGTCCATTGAGGTTAGCAAACGTCTTGGTCCATTTTACAGTTGGCAGTCACTGTCATAGGTGCAGGTGTACAAAAACCAACACTAAAAATATATCCTTTCTGGTCAATGCCTCTGGTATGAGCCTCCCTTTGTGTCCCAGTGGGAAAGCATGAAAGACAAAAACCAACTTCTAATACTCACTGACATAGTGAAAAGACTCAGTACATAATTTTAAAACAGTGTTTGCTTCCATAGAGGATCTCCCCACCTGAGTCAAGCTTTCCCACATTTCAGGCCACACTGCAGTTGCAAACGTTACATTAGGCAAGGGGATTAGGCATTCAGCAGAGGAACTTAAAGCCCTTTAGTTCCTTGCACCAATGTCACACCCAACTAAGTGCACAGGTATATTTAAAGTACAGCCCGGGAGTACTTTCCTCACCAAGTGAGTATGGCCAGAAGGGGTGGAGTGGAGGGAAGGAAAAAAACATGTGAACAGGCTTCACATTAACTGTGGCCTATTTTTACAGCAAGACTAAATTCATGCTTTTCCAGTAAAGGAAAGAAGGTTGACAGCTCATCTGAGTTTCCTATTCCTTAACTAGCTCCACATACAAAGGGAATTGGTGGAGCCAGATTTGTAAGACAAGCTAGTTCAGTAGTTTACTGATGGTCTTCAGAACAGAAGTCAGGTCTTGATCTTTTCATTAGATTAAACAAAATATTTGCCCCTCTAGCCTTCCTACTTCCAGTTTTCACCTCATCTTTCCAGTTATTTTCTATACCCTCTCCAGTTTCTCAAGATCTGTTTAAAAATACAGGGAGTAGAACTTGGTATGGTATTTTAAGACTGGTTTAAAATAACAGATATTATTTATATTTTAGATAGGACAAACTAGTGCAAGTAGGCAGTCAACAGTATAGCTTGGTTTTGTCTAAATCATTTAGGACTGGAAATTTCATAACTGGTTTTCTAGCTTTTTGCCCATGTCCTTACCTGAATGTTGAGAGTAAGCGTATGCCAAGCGCTATCCCGGACACCAGAAAGTCCTTTCATTAGTATTTCTCTCCCAGCTGAAAAAGACACTTAATGTTAGCAAACTGTTACTTCACCCCTTTGCTGAGACTAATAGTTCAATACCAAGCTAGCTGGAAGAAAATAATCACTATTTTTCAGAAGCGTTCTGGACTGGCGTCTTATCAAATTTCAACTGCAGCATGGAAGGCTTAACACAAATTTGGACTCCACATTATCAGTGCATTCTCTGGTTTTGCCAGGACTGTTTTTCCACTGAAATCTCCGATGCTCTTAGGAATTTTGCCTGAGATAAGAATTCCCTCTGTTGAGGGTACGGGTTCATGAAGTGTGACAATAGCTATTGCTTTGCTTGTTCTATAGCTCTCCTCCATTATGTATTGGAACTTGCTTAAATCAGAGGGTTTGAGCTGCCACATCATCATGTTGCTTAGTTCTACTCAAAATTTAAACTAAGCAAAAATTGGGTGTGACTGGCACCTGGATGGTAGACCTGAAAAAACTAAGTGCTACCAGTAGAATCTTCAATTATTCAGTAGACAGTTTTAGCTGCAAGTTAATTTAACATTCAGGCTCTCTTCTAGAAAAATAAAGATCACTGAAAATAGCTGTACAGAAAAATATTACCATGTTGCTTAACAAGTGTCTCAAGTCTGAAATAATGAGGCAGTTAATCAAAATACTTGCATTTCATCTAGGAAAAATTATTTCTGACAGCCTGAGAAACTAATTGGGTAATGTTGCCATGTCTTATTAAAAAATAAAAACTGAATCAATCCTAAACACTAGTATGTTTTTACATACAGATGAAACTTAAGTTGCTATGGAGTTAAACATTCCAGTTTCCCTAGGGAGAACCAGTATGCTAAGAGAAGCTAATGCAAACCCTTCCCTTTTTTTTTATGGTAAAAATTAAAAAAAAAAAAAATATGAGAAATGAGAAACTACAGCTACCAAACAGAAGATGAGATTATTTTTAGGGTCCAGTACTGTGTGGAACACTTTCATATCAGATATACTGTAGATCTAGAAGTTGCATCTGACTCATCAGAAACTACTGAAAACCTTAATTTATACTCATGAAGTGATAGGAAATGCATTTAAAAAACAAAACCTGCCACTATTTCAAATCAAATTAAAAAGCACTTTTAGTTCTTGATGAAGTGTTATGACATACACTCTTCTGTCAGGTGCTCTACAGATGAACACACATGAATATCAGCATCACAAGCAGAATCTGCTCTCACTCCACTAAGCTAGACTAACAGTAGAATGCATAATTTGTGCAAACAGTAGGCCACTTATCATCACCACTTAAGACAGACTGTAGCACATTAACTTGCACTGCTCTACAAGACAGGCCAATGCATTTCAAGCAGGATTTTCTCTTTAGGTCTAGTACAAGAAAAAAGATCAAACCTTTCTGTAATTAATATTGTATCAGAGTATTTATGAAAAGCAAAGTAATTTATATTTGCTAATGTAAAATAGCTTTTGCCAACTGAAAAAATAATCCAGAAAGCTGAGACTAAGAAGCAGACCAGCCAGTAGCCTTCAGATGCTCTCTTCACATACAAAACGTAGCCATCGTTAGACCTCAATGGATTAAATTCATAGTGATAAGTGAATTACAAAATCTGAATGTTAGTCATTTTTATCACGGCTATCAAAATGACACATCCATATCCTAGCATCCACTTAAGCAAAGAGCTGCTTACCTAGCTCTTTTTTACCTAGCAAAGAGCTAGTTACCTAGATCACCGGTGACTCTGTAGGTGCCATCTGCAAAAACCCAGAAGAAAACTCCTTTGGTACGTCGAACATATAAACCACCGTTGTCGACTCTTCCTGCAACAAACACGCCCCCATCATGTTGTTTTTCTATGTAGATGTCACAAGTGACTGTCATGTTTACCCTAGAAGAGAAAGTTAGTGTTTTAACAAGCAAAGTATCAATTTTTTTGAGCAGGTAATAGGTAGCAGAGTATTCCCAATGTAGTACAGCAATCTTTTTGAGGAAAGATTTAGCAATCCTAATTGTGACCTCCAGGTGCGAGATACACATGACTTTCTAGATTAGTTGTTTCCTACCTGTGTGTCCACAGAGTTCTTTAGGAAGAGCAATCCTTCCCAGAAACCAACAAAAAAAAAAAAAGTGTATTGTTAGCACCCTTCAGTTTTATTTTTAATTACAAAGCAAAACAAAGAAAACCCCCCAACACAAAAGGTTTTCATCTCTACAGAAAAATTTACAGGTCTGCAAAATGAAAAGTTGCTTTTAGATAACTAAATCAAATCCAAGACTCAAGATGATAGCAACACATCTGCTAAAATTTAATCTTCATTTCTCTAAGATTTTTAATACAGGCCAAGTCTTAAATAACCCAGATCTCTTGCACAGAATGCCAGAACAAACTTGTTTAAACAAGTTTGATGATCAAACAGGTTTAAATTATTTGATTTTTCCTGAGGTGATACTTTAGCTCAACAGCAAAACACCCTGTTATACACATAACAGAAGTAAAGGAGAATAATGCAAAGGAATACCAGAACAATCAAGTAACACCTAGAAAATTTACACAACTTCCCCTGCCCCAAAGTTGTGCTACAAGCCTCTTAACAATACAAATTAAAGGCATTCTTTGCCTCTATTAATATATATTCAAATTAAAAACCTACATCCCAAGTCTGAAAGGACTTGCAATATGGATACAGTCACAAGGTTGTATATTTAGGAAGTTTCTGATTGTTTATAATTATTTACAGAATGTGAAAAGACTTTCTATGACATCAGCTAAGCTGATAACTAAATCATAGTGTGTATATATATATATATATTATGTACATAATATTTATCTTAGCAAATCATCTCCTCACCTCTTAGATAATGGTAAGAATGACCTGAGATTTCATTCTGAAGTAATGCTATTAGAAGTATCAGATTCTTGGATGTTAGTCATTACACAAACAAGATATTTCTTGCCTCCCTATGTATTAAACAAGAGACCTCTACATCTTGCTTAAGCCATTGTAAAGAGATTGGAAGCTATGTAGAATAAGTAGTAATATTTTCAAGATCTAGGTAGGTTCAATAAAACCATCAGAGCAAAACACTAATAAATTCAGGAGTGGAAACAAAATATTTTCACAAGCAGGAGATTAAAATGAAAACTAAAACCAACTAAATACTCCTGAAATTTAAATCACAATAAATTGCCATTGATGACTGAAGTCCAACACCATTAAACAGAGAAATTCAGTTCAAGATTGGTTTGGTATTTCAGTAGCATTCACTAATGGTTGAAAACATCTACCCATTTACCTAGGACAAGAGGACCTGAAACTGAAGACTATAATAGAAAGTTACATATCAGTAAAACTTGAACCAGCTGAATATTCAGAAAGCAAACTTGGCTCTGAAAACAAGATGAAAATTCAGGAAGAAATGGAATCAAAATAAGAAGTTTTTAGGAATCTCAGTAATTTAAAAACACATCCTGTGTAGCTGTCACAGGTATCACTGAATATGATACAATCAATTTTCCTACATTAATTAGAAGGGGAATATGAGACTTGGCTTAACAGAGGATGCAGAAGAAAACATCAAGTAAGTGACGAACAACCTCCAGCTACAAGATGGTGGCATTCTTCCAGGCCTCAGAGCAAAGTGATTCAGAACCAGCTTCAAGCTTCTAATTTTTGGACTGGGCAAGTGATTGAAAAAACATTTGGGGGACCAATGACCCACTGAAAGTGAAAAAACCCTGACAGAATGGCTATTTTAAAGAAGATATCAAAAGAATTTAAGCTACACTTCCAAACAGAAGAAAAGTTTATTACTTACCATTACTAAACCAATTATTTAACAGGCTATTTCCCAAATGTTTTCTAATTTTAAATAAACATTATGCTAAAATATGCTGCTAGCCTCCAAATTACCATAATCACAGCTCCTAGAATGAATTTCAATCATAACCATGCTCTTATCAAACCAGTACATCTCAGTTACATTTACCCAGAAATAAAACTGTTAAACTGTTAAGTAGCAGCTGAATCAAATCCATACAATTCTAGGAACTGCTCAGAAGATGGCAGTCTGCAACAAATATAACTGAATTAACTCCCAGGCTATTTCATTGATACGAGATTGACCAAATCACTAACAAGCAAGACAACTTAAAATTAAGTAATTTCAACTGAAACAAATTGTGCCATTTAAAAACGTACTGAAGCTCAATGCAGAGTTTGAATTAAGATTTTGACTTGGTCTTTCCAGAACACCAACCCAGATCCATTATTCTGAAAAAACAGTTTGAACAAATACACCCAGCAGGACATTAGGAAAAAAAATTTTCAAGACAGTGGATCAATGGGCCAAGATACCAAGAGATGTGGTGGACCCTCCACCCTTAGATGTTTTTAAGACTCTTTTAGACAAAGGCACAGTTGATCTCTTAGAGATAACAGCCTGAGCAGGGTTCAGTGACTTTTGGAAGCCCCTTAAGTCATCATTCCTATGTACCTACAGAGTCTGAATGCAAAAACCCTCTGTCCAAGAGAAATGAGGGTTGAGACAGATTAACCGATCATAATTCACACTGTTAAGGAGGACATGTCCTCAGATGTTACAAGAAAACAGTATTTACGTACCACTGAAAATTTCCTATGAGACTGATGGTCTGGTCTGCATCAGAAGCCCAAGTGACTGGTCGTTGAACCACCACCTGGCGGAGTGTGAACACATGATCTCCCGGGTCAGAATCATTTACGTAGTATTCAAATACACCTGTCTGATCTGCAAAATTCGGGGCTTCACTGAATGGGGGATTTCCTGTTCAGAAAACAAGATACATATCAACACCAAAACATTCTATTTCTTCTGTGTAATCTTGTTTTCAGAAATTTCCTCTGAAAATATTCCCCAGAATTTTGATTTACTCTACCAAAGCATAGCCTCCAAAGCTGAAGTTTTGAGAGCTAGAAGGGGATTTTAGTTTTGGGTTTGTTTTTCAGCAGACCCCAGTGTCTGCAAACACATAAACAAGGTAAATTACCTTCTTCCCTATCTTCTTTCCAAAAAGTAGTTCACTATAGTTATGAGCTATATCATTTGTATCTAAAATTTTAAAGCTGTTACTGACCACCCAGTTAAGACAGAGTTAAACATACCTCACTGCAATGGAAGTATACGGCTGTAAGTTGTTGGAGAAGCAAGTATAAATAAACAAAAATAAACCAGACAGACTGCTCCATTTTCCTTACATTAGAGGACACAAATAACAACTGTTACTGCCTTTCTACATTAAGGCTGTACTTGTGTGTGAATTAAGCTTTTGGATAAGAGAATTCTGACTTACGAATATTGAAATCGTCTTTGTAATTTGAAGGAAAGGGCTGAGATGGTGGAGGCTCTGGGACACCACATTTTTGCCCTGTCTTGAGTGTGGTTAATGTGTAGACTTCATCCACGCTTAGATCTAAAGAAAGACTTCCATTCAACACCTGGAATTAAAGAAAGCTCAAGCTGCAAAACAACTACATGACCAAGTTCCTTAATTAAAGGAGATCCTCTAATGTCCTGATTTAAGGCAAAACCTTCTTCTTGCCTCAGCTTTTATTATCTCCAAGCTATTTTGAAAACCCCCTTCCCCCAGCCTCTTTATTACCTCCAGGTAAGCTTGTAAATAGTAAGTGAAACTGTAGTCCAACGAAACTAATGAAATATGCCCTAATTATGCAGTTTAGACAAGAAAGTCCAGGGGTTCCAGCAAACGGGGAAAACACACCTGAAATTGCAGGGAGACTGTAATTAAAACTGATTGACTTACCTTTACAGGATGCAGTTGCTGGAAAAGACTAGAGTTTCCAGATTCAAAACCAAGTCTAGAATGCCACACCTGAAGGGTGTCCACCATATACTACAATGAAGCACAATACAAAATTGGAGGGGGGGGAGGGGGGTGGAGAGATAAAAAAACTTGAATATCCACCTTCAGAAATACCAGCTCTCTAAGGGTGTTTAATTGTATTTTAGAGCTGTTGAATACATTACAGGCCATCACCCTATTCAGCTAGCCATTACATCTGCCTTATATTTTTATAGATTATACGTCAATGAGCCATTGTCCTAACATGCAGCAATACTGCTTATAAAAGACAAAGCATTGTAATCACACATGCAATCTTTAGCTTCTCTGTTACCAACAACAATATCCCTTTGATGCAAGCTGTATGCCTAGGAGCAAATAATCTTTTGCTGATTCTGCTTTACTGTGTGACCTTTAGTTTAGTTGCTGGTTCTTTGATATTTTTAAGCAAGGTACTTTGCCTACAGATCTCCAAACTTCCACAATACTATGGCATATCAACTACATTAGTTGCAGACTTTAAAAAACTTGTAGGGGTTGGATATGGTTAGTTACCCAGAAGAACAACAAAGCAAGCAACAGTTTGGTTTGCATAAGCTGTCTGATACGTCCCCCAAAGGAAGCTGTGTATCAGAAGTGACGCCCAACTATTTTACCTAAGGATTTTATTGCCAGAAGTATTGCCCAGACTATCCCCTCCTAAATGAAAGGAAGCCAATCCCACCAAAAATCAAATTCCAAATAGTAAACACTTTCAGCTTCTGAGAAGCAATCATCCATATCAACTAACAAAGATTCTCTCCACAGTGTGAAAGTATTGTTTACATTTCAGAGGGAAATTCAGTTCAAAGAGATTTTTAAAAACCCACGCACTACAACTGGGAGCTTCTCAGAACATCTCTTCATAGGATAGAACAAAGTATATAATCAACTGCATATATACAGTATATGATCCATTATATACAGTATATGATCCATTATATACAGTATATGATCCACTGCAGTTACTCCCCTGGAAAGGAGCTGGTAACAACTAGAAAGGTCAGGGCCATGCTGGCTGGACAAACTATATCAGCATGTCAGAACACCCAGCCTTGGACAGGACAAGGGGTAACGGGTTTAAATTGAAAGTGGGGAGGTTTAGATTAGATATCCGGAAGAAGTTCTTCACGGAGAGGATGGTGAGGCACTGGAACAGGTTGCCCAGAGAAGCTGTGGATGCCCCATCCCTGGAAGTGTTCAAGGCCAGGCTGGATGAGGCTTTGAGCAACCTGGTCTAGCGGAAGGTGTCCCTGCCCATGGCAGGGGGGGTGGAACTAGATGATCTTTAAGGTCCCTTCCAACCCTAACCATTCTATGATTCTATGAAATCCTAAAGAAAAACCCAATTGCATTTCTGTTTTGGAGAATTTCTTCTCTAAATATATAGATCACTAGACTGGGAGGTAGTAATGGTACAAATTCAGTTATGGCATTACATCTCAGGCTAAAAGCAGAACTAGAAAGCTTAAAACTTTTCCAGATGTGTAAGACACTAGTACTGGAGTAAAGAACTCCGATTTCTAACAGACCTGTGATACTGTCTTGCAAAGAGTATGGATAGCAATTTATTTTACAAGACCGACCAAACGTATTCAAGATCTACTTACAAATGACCCTTTGAGGTTAAAAGTTGCTCTCTGAGGTGTCACACTGAAATAAGGCAGTGGAGGCCTGATACACCGAGAGTGATCCCGAGTCTGAAGAAAAAAAATAAACAACAGAAGGAACATACATTACTGGAATGCCTCACATGGCAATGTTCATGAAAATCATGCAGCATAACTTGAAATTAAAAAAAAGAAACTTGGAATCAATTTGCAACTATTTATTTCACTGTTCTCTTAATAACTGCAATTACACTAGCTTAATAATTTTATTTTGAATACTGTTTAAAAAAGCATGACTTAATTTCCTCCCAGAGCATGTCATCAATTTGAAGCTAATTTGTGATATAAAGATGACACATATATTGTTCTCCAGGAAAATTCAACTAGCTATTCAAAGTTGAGATAGGAAGAAGGACCTCTAGTGGTCTCACCAAGCTTCAAGCATCAAAGAACATATTCACAGGTATTGAACTACAGAAATCAAACCAGGTTCTTCATGACCAAACATTTCCTTTGTCCTTTCCTGTTCACAGGAACTGCTGATGCACATACCATCGTTTCAATGATGATGGTAAGGTTTCCTAGGCCATCCGTCAGAGCTACAAAACTGCCACCTCCTTCCAAGTGTCCATCCACCTCCAAGTATGACCAGCCTGGCTGAGTAAATTGTGTTGTGTGTGCTGAGACAAAACAAACAATCAGAAGAAAATAAATAATTCTTAATTAAAAATAATACCATTTTTAGTCTGAATTAAAATTTCTCTCTTGTATATTCTTGCACAATGAAAGCTTGATTTTGGGAAGGAATTAAAAACTCTCACAACAAATTCCACCTATAAAGAAGAAAGATTCAAGAATTTTATTAAGGCACAATTAAAAATATCAGCTCTGGGCAGATGAAACAGTTAAAATGATAATTATTTAGACAGAAAGAAAAAAAAAACAACACTATTACACCACTATGAAAGTCAGTCATGCACATTCAATATGAATATTCCCCACAGTTTAGATTTTCCCAAAAGTGTCTTATTTTCTTCTTTAAATAAACAGTTGAGCCAGTGAAAGCATGGACAGGCACCTCCATGAAGAATAACTAAATAAGTATGGTTTTCAGCACATAAGAGAGTAACAAAAAAAGAATATGATCTAGATCATGAAAATCCTGAGCAACATGGAAACTGGAACAACTGCTCAGTTGTTCCGAACTGTTCAAATGACAGTGCAGCCATTTTTTTAATGCTTTTACATTGGTTACAGGTAACTAGCAGAAGTATAAAAATGAAAGCATTTGCCTTGTTCCTCCTTTATGGCATTGCATGTGCTACCTACTCTACTGACCTGTGGCAAAGACAGTGAAATATTACAGGACTAGAGAGTAGCCAGTGAATCAAGGTGTCCACACATGCTATGTGAACGTATTCCCCTTTCCCCAAGTACCAGAAAATGCTGATATACACAAACCAAGAATCCCAAGCACGATAAGAATACAGAAGTTCTCAGTTCCATTTTCTCAAATTAAGAGGTATCAAATGTCCACTTAAGGACTGAAAAAAAGGACAGTAACTACAAAAGTAAACTAACCTTTATGTGCACTTCAGACTAAAATACTTTAATAGTAACAGCTATAAAAGACAGCAGTTTATTCATTTATGCTGTATCTAACAGTCAAGTATTAAGATTTCCCTTGCTACAAGATCTTTCTTCTTTCTATTGAAAGGAGCTTTTTTCCTTCTTTTTCATGAAGTATTCACAAGACTTCCATAAAACTAATTTGATTCAGTACAAAAAAATAATGCACATTAGAGACACTAAAGGTAGGCCTTGGAAAATACAGTTATGCTCTGTGTTAGACCAAACTTCTACCAACAAACTTTTTACCTGTAATCCAGATAGGAGCTTCTACTCTGTAGTGGCCACTCCATGGTTCTTGTGCTGTCATTAATCCACATCGACCAAAGGGCAACTCTTCATAATAACTAGCCACCAAGTTCCATGCAATGGTTCAGGGGGGGAGGAAAAAAAAAAAAAAAAAAAAAAACACACCAAAAAAAACCCACAGGTTTATTTGCTCCATTCACATGGATATTGTTAGATTAACTCAGTACAAGAATTTAGTCCTCTTTTTTTTAATCCAGCATACAGTGAAAAGAAGTTTAAGGTAAAAAAAAGAAATCTTCCCAGCTAAAAAAAACCACACCAACACAGGAGAAGAAAATAAAACAAGTCAACTTTCAGTTTCTTACAAAACTGATGATACATTCTCCTGCTATATCACCATAAAAACTCATACATAAAAGCAATTGTGTACTGAGGGTTAAAGAATCCATTCATATTTACTTTTCTTCCTGTTCTTAAGGGAGAAAAATGTTACAAAAGTTCACAGTTTTTTGCTGGAATGGGTTTTGTATGGTTGTTGGGCTTTTTCCTTTGCTTATTTGGTTGTTGGTTTTGTTATTATTATTTACTGGGGTAAGAGGGGTGTGTTTAAGTACCACTGAAAAAAAAAGTAATTCTTCCTTTTATCCATCTAAATAATGAACAGATAACAATGCTAACCAGCCATCCTCCAGGAGTTCTTGCCATTTCAAGAAGTTGTCAGGACACTGACAAGGTTCATTTCTTCACGTCTTCTGATTTGATCTTCACTGAAAATCTTTTGTTAGGACTTTAAACTTAAGACTTAAGTGCCATAAGTATGGAAATACAGCTTAATAAAGCAGTTATGTAGAAATCAAAAGGTGGCATGCTATTCTGCTATTGCATACACATGAGTGCAAAAACCTCACATTCTAGAATCACTGCCATAGATTTATCACACTATATATGCATTCCAGAAGAGATCCTGAGATCCTACAGAAGTTGCTTATAAAATAAACAACTCAAATTGTAAACTCAACAACTTGATCACATTATACTCGTTTTGCAGAGTTTCAAACTTAGAAATGTAGGGAACAAGTTCAAAGGAAACTAGCTGAGCAGAAAGATAAGCTGCCTTTCACCAGGAAGACTGTTTTTAACATAAAAGCCAAGATAACTTCAATATTGGATATAGGGACTTAGAACTATTCCACAGTAATTTCTAAATACAATACACGGGCCTGGCTGTCAGACTGCTAAACAAATGGGGCATATATAATTACAAAGTGCTTGTTAAAAAGAAAAGAAATGGGAAAAAGAAAGAACCCAAAGTAAGATATTAAAGCATATGTGAGTCAAGAGGCAAGGGGAAGGGTCTGAAGTTCCCATACAAATTATTCATCTGTTAAAGTTTCAGCTTGCAGAGAAAGACACATTTCAAGATTCACAGAAACCTGGTGACTCAAGAAACTTCCAAATATCCAAGTGCTTTGTGCTGTGCTCTGTTTCAAGCATTTCAGACAAAAAAATATTTATCCTTATTGTTCCAAAATGACGTTACACAAAAAACTAAAGACTTCCAACAATTTTGCTTATAACTTGATGCCTACATTTTCATTAATCAGATTTCCCCCCCCCAGAAAAGTAGTTGTTGCACTGGTAACATCAAAAGTATGGTTTCTGTTCTCCTCTCAAGTTATGCAATTTCCCAATAAATAAAACAGCTTTCTTCCACATTTCAGTTTGGAAAGAAAACGTGAAGGTTACATTAAACATATCAAAAGTCTACAGCAAGTTTTAGAATAGACTCTGAGAAATAACTTGTATGGAAAAACTAAATAATGACATCTGTACCTATTACTTTTAACTGAAGAAAAACAAGATGATTAAGACCATAAGAAAGAAAGAGATAAATTAGATTTATTCTAATTTTTCTCCAGTGTTTTTCATGTTGTTAGTTCTTCAGAACATTCCATTTTTAACAAACATCAGTCTCATAAGCATTTGAGCTCAGCTGCATAAGCCATGGGGTACTGTGGAACAGTAACTCAAGACTACATTAAAACTTGTGGGACATCTACACCAGAAAGAGGTTAAGGACAGTAGACTTTATACCTTACTGTATTTGAATTCATACTGACAGCAGAAAGAGTTTCAGTTCACCAACAATCTTACCATAGCAGATGGATGCGTTATATAGCATTTTAAACAATTCTGGCATATGAAGCAAAAGCAGGCAAGCATGCACAGCACTTACGAGGTCATGTTTCCATTCACGTAGTTTTGGTTCAGGATCCGAGCCCAGCAGCCTGCACCTACTTCATCATTGAAAGTACTGTAATCTTCTGAAGACCACAGCTTCTTCTTAGTTAATAAGGCATTTTGCACTGTTTTTGTTCCGGGATAGTGAGCCCTACATGGTATTTTAAAAAGAAAGCACTTATCACAAAAAGAAAAATCTAAGCCTGGAAGTACAAACAGCAGTAATGATTCACCTCCAAACTGAAAATGGAAAACAAACTTTCTTTTGAATAATACTAATGAAAGATAAGAAAATAGAATGAGAGCATGCCATCATATTCCATAGCTTATTGTATTTGCTTGGGTAGAAGATTAATAATTCTGATACATGCTAGCATTAAGTAAAACTAGCTTTAAATTTGCCATTTCTGAGCTTGCTAAAGCAAAGCTTTATCCTGAAACTGAGCTGGAAGATTTTCACAACTGTAATGTGCTAAACAGAGATGTTACCTTGCATCTCATGCCACCTTGTACTGTCTCAAACAAAACCATCAATAATTATAAAAGTAACAGTAGGAGTCAGTACTAGCCATTATTCTAGGAACATAACTGCATGAATGTCTTAGGACCTAAACACAAACTCCACTAATTTTGCACAACTTTTTAATAAACACAGCTTTCAAAAAGACATGCTAGTTGGACTGTATGTGTTAAGGAGGTATAAATTGAAAACAGTTGACACATATAATGAAAGTTCTTCCCAAGATCTTCCTTAGTATGAGGAGAGATGTTTTTGCTCAAATGAAGACTAGTGATTATACTCAAACACAAGATTGATTCACTATGCCAAATTAGTCTGACTGAAATAAAGCCTTTCAAATCACTTGCAGAAAACAGGGTCCTGGTTTTCCCCTCACTCAGCACACTCACTAAACACATTACACACACTAAAATGAAACTATCAGCACTGGAAAGAAAGGCATAAATATTTCCTTTACCATTAGCCTGAAACTTGACAAATTGAGACATTTGTGACAGGGACACAAGAAATACCAGTTTTTCTAGGATGACTGTTGTTGGGTTTGGTTTTGGGGTTTGTTTTTTTTTTTTCTCATTATTTTTTCCTCTACTGGATAATAGGCCATTTCCCAGTGCTGCAGTTCTTCATACACAGCTTCACTAATAATAATATAACAGACAGCAGAAATTTTAGCCACATCCTTCTCTGCTGTACAGATTAATGTATATCTCCCCTTCATCTTGGAACACAAGTATTACCTTGATACCAAGCAAAGGTTTATTATAATGGCATAAAGTGTGTAGCTTGCAAAGATGGAATGTTTGTCTTGCTACACTCCATATGCTGAAGACCTGTTTCTTAAATATTAAGTCAACATCCCTACCAAATACAAGCTGTATTTTACAAAAAGAAAACAAACAAAAAAAAAAGGCAGGGGGTGTGTTCTAGAGAACTTTATGAGAGATTACACAGGAACAAAATCTATAGAGAGTTTTAATTTCCTGCCGTAAAACAGTGGGTTGCTCCACTGTTTTGTTCATGAGGGAAGAGAAATAATTCAATAACACTAAAGCTATGGAAATAAATTGGATGATACACAGGATTGAAGTTACGGGGTGAACAAACAGGTTCCAGAGGCTGATTCCTTCAGTACCTTTATTGACAGCTTTTCTCCACTTAAGGCCCACACACTTTCTCGTTTACTCCCACTGGTGTGCATTCAGGTAAAACAGTTTCACCACAAGTTGAGAAATGAATCATTTTTCTCTGCTCTTAGATGCAGTTTCTATCATTGTTAAACAACACAGTTTACACTGTATTTCCTTTTCACTTACACTGCTGTTAAACAAGGGGGTTTTTTTTTAATTTTCATGAATACCTGAATTACTACTTAAAAAGAAGGACATAACTACAGAGTGTGTAACTTAATTACATATGAAAACTAACCTTTTAAAAAATAAGTACACCAACGTTGGTGGGTGGGTGGGTGTGTTTAATAGTGTAGAGTGTATACTTTAAGAAGATAGAGATGCAGAAACCAAACATCTGCTATCGGATTACAGTGAGGGCTGTCACACCCAGTATATGCTGGATTTGTTGAACTCCATGTGATTTATGTTTAAATAAAACAGCAGGTCATGCTACAGCCCTCTTAGGTGTCTTGTGCCTCTCTACAGTCTCAACAGCTAACAAATGGTGTGCAGCAAAGGACAGGAGATTAGCTGTGTCCAGAACAGTGTGCTCTGCTCCTTCAGTAGAGGAAACAAACTTTTTACTTCACTGGAAATAAGAACTCCTACAAATGACTATTACTCTCAGGACATAATTGGTTCACTCAAGGACCACTATCATTTGGAGAAACTTGAGTATCCCAATTAATGTTTCAGGAAAAAAATCACAAACTCCTAAACACCTACCTTTCTTGCTGCCCAAAAAGATGAACTAGAGCGGAGTTTATGCATCATTCTTATAGATGTGATGCCTCAGTACAAGCAGTGGGATTTTAGATTCTCTGCTCAATAAAGCAGAGAGTCAGGCACACTGTAACAGACAACCATTTCAAAGAGAGGAAAAATGTGATGCATACCATAAAAGAAGGGGAAGAAGAATGGATCTTGGTGAAGGAAAGGTAGTGAACAGAATTATAGCAAAAGTGACACATGAGCTTAAATGTCTCACCACTCAGAGAAGAATTTAACAGCTATTACTATTGGTGTTTGCATTCTTCAAACCACTGTAATTTACAAAAAAAATATTTTCATTGTTCCCTCCTTCTTTCAGTCCCTCTAGAACCAGCAGATAGCTGGTTCATCATCAGGGCCTCTAGCTACTAGAATGGTAACAAAGTATTTCTAAAATGAGTGGGTTTTATACAGCAGATGATAAGCAACGTAACTCCAACGGGGGGGGAGGGGGGGGGAATCCAGTTGCCCATCTAGGGCAACTAAACTAAACCAGATGTAGAAGGCAACATTAATAAGAAACTTTCTTCTACTTCGGGATTGCAAATGCTGTTTTGCACAACTGCCCAGTGACTTCATTTGAATAACTTAGTTAAAAACAAAAACCCAAAAAACTTTGTGTTATTTTTTGGTTTGCATATAGCAATGGACCAAAGGGGACGAAGGAGAAAATCAGATAGAAATAGCAGATTTTTCCACCATTTTTCTCTCATGCATCAGTACAAGGCTCTAGAAGTTAAATAAATCTTAGAAAGATCAACCTATATAATACACTACAACGAAGCTTTGCAGAAAAGCACTACCTATGAAAACTGCAAAACATAGTTCTCCAAAACATCTCTAGAAAAGAGAAGTCATCTGCTAACACCACTATCTTTCCTACTCCTCATTCTGTGTTAGCATACAGGCCTGGGAGGGACTTGGGACAGTTTGAATTCCTGCTACTACAGGCACCACATCCTGGAGTAATGTCACAAGAGCAGCTTGTTTTTCTTAGGTTGTTAACTTGGACATAATTAGGTCTAATAAATTTCTTTAAAATGTTTGGTTTTCTGTGACACCTACATCCAACCAAGTGTGTGTTTGGAACAGATCTGGTTAGGAACACTGATGCTTCTAACCAAAAAGACTGAGTTGTCACCTAATGGCTTACTAAATTTATATTAGGTGAAAATAAAAGTTGTTACTCCAAACTCACTGACACTGTCTAACCACTTCCTGTTTTCTGTCAATTAACAGCAGGAAGAGGTGAGGGAGCTAAATTTTCAACACGTAGAGTCAGAATAGCTTGGTCTTTAAATAGAACGTAAAAATCTAACTGGTTTAACAGTGTTAAAAAGAAGTAGCACATCTAAAGTACAACTATGAGTAACTGTGGAATATGCAAGCCCATCCTTAAAAAGCATTAAGAGCTACAATGTAATTTAAATATCTTCAAAGTAGGAATAATACTTATTTATAGTTCATTATATTTCATTTCACTAGAAAAATGATGCAACCATAACACATCTGAAAAGCTGTTTGGAAATATCACATCATAAAGAGCTTTGATGACCTGGGTCATATTCCTATGTGGGTGAACATCTATTAATAGTTTTACTGTGTATCTTCAGGGCTCCCTCTAATTTCTAGCAATTACAGTATCTTGCAGACGAAGCCTGGATGCAAACAGTGCTTAAACCTGTTGCTTTTGTTTTATTTTACAATGTCTCATCCACCTTGTCTGATGAGAGACCTCACAGACCACAAATTATGTTACCAAGACCAAATTTGATTCTATGTGCATTCCTGTAAAATCTTGGCTATCTGCAGTACTTTTCAAATTAAAAAAAATAAAAAGCCAAGAATAAAAGACATCATGATGAGACATGTACCACTATATGTCCAGCAGCCAACTAATTACCCATTACACAAAAGCGTATTTCACCTTCCTGTTAAGATTGAATCAGAGTAGGGAGATGAAACTTACACTTGCAAAGAATTAAGCAAATACAGCTTACTAAGGCAGTGTAAAAACAGCTGAGCTTCAGGAACTGACTCTGGGTGCACACTTGTAGCTGCCAAAAAACAGAAAGGAAGCATGCTCACTAAATTAGGATCATGGTAACTACAGCGGATTTGTATCTAGTCAGAGCAAGCTCCCGATTTCATTCGCTTCTTGATCCACACATGATCCAAGACCCCTTACAAAAAACTCACGGGATACTTCTGGTTGCTCAGAATAGGGGTTTGGGATTGATTTGGGGTGGACACTGACCATACATCTGTATTTGGAGGGAAAGTCTTCATTTCTATACCTCCTATGGGTCAGATATATTGAAGATTAACATAATAGATGCAAGTTGAAAAAAGAAACAGCCACATTTGAAGCATGTGATTGGGTCAGCTGAGTTTATGGAACCTAATAATTAAAATTCAGAGCTACTGTAAAAAGAAAAGTTAATGAGCAAGTCTTACACACATTTCCATTCAGCATAAAAGTCAGTAATCAAATTTATTCTATTGCTTTTGCAATATATTAGCATTGTATGATGAAACCCAGAACCAGAAAAACAAGTCAGCTGGTTGCATGCTTTCCAAATGCAACTTTCCCATCAAAACAAAATGTGAACTAAGAAACAAGACATCATTGTAACTAAAAAAAAGAATCATATCCCCAGTTCATTTCTGGATCACACCATTTTTGTAACAAACCAGTGGAAGTCAGTCATACAATGCTGTAAACAAAGCTGTAAAGTTAAAGTATTTTTTTTGCTTATCAAATACAGGAACCAAACAACCCTCAGAATGAACAGGGTTGTCCAAAAAAATTTTCAATTTATCAAAGGGGCAACCACAGCCAATAGGAATCTTCTACATGATAGGAGACTCTTGATTCAATTAAAGGGTTGAGGCTGTCACCAGGACAATAGCCCATGTGATTTGATGTGGTTTAGTAAGCAAGAGAGCATCAATACTTTCATTGCAGGTAAGAGTATAGAGAGATAAAGCTTTGGCTGTGTTTGTTATAAATCAGCAAGACAAATTATGAGCAAACCACCAAGAAATTAAAAAAAGAGAGAACCCCCTACCCAATCACATCGACTGCTCCATGGAGCTCAGAGTCAAGCAGCAAGACAAAGGAAATGGGCTCCCACAGTCTATCGCTGGCTATGATCCTCACCTGCTGCAGACCGCACTTATCCAATGTGTATCTCAACAGCTTTTTGGGGAAAAAAAAAAAAAAAGCAAATAACAGAGAGAAGGGACAAATAAAAAAATGTTTTTCAAATTGTCAAAAATTTATATTGGGAAAGGCAGCATCTTCTTCAGCACTATTTGAACATATTTCAAAAAAATAAATCATGTTACAATTTGTTTTCACAACTTGGACAACAAGTATTCCAGCAGTACACCAAACAGAATGTAATAGATTTGAAGGCACCTTGTGCTTGACAATAATGACAACTTCTTCCTCTACCATGCCAAACTCCGAAGTACATGACAAAAGAAAAAAAATGAAAAAACATTTTTTTCTTGTTTTCTTACACACAGAGAACTGCAGATAAAGTTGAAGACAAAGCATAATACACTGCATGCACAACACTATTTGCAGATCAGCCACTTACGTAGATGTTAAAGCTGAGCATTAGTCTACAAGGACCACATACAGGGCAAGGACAACTGAACTATAACTCAAAACTCATGAAATAAGAGTAATTATTTAATGAAGGAGTTGATTCCCCCTATTTACCTGCTAATCAACTATTTCAATTTAACAGTGAAGCAGGACAAATGAGATCAGCTTTTCCTAAACACAATCAACACAAGAAACAAGAAAAAAAACCCAGATACATACAGACCTTATTACTCAACTGTGTTTTATTTCAAGTTTTAAAATTGCAACCACCATACACTTCCCTAGAGATATTTTAAGGCCTTGAAAAATCAATGAAACAAATCTAAGATGTCACGTAAGACTGAGTCTAACAATCTAGTGTCTTGAAGCACAGAGGTCTCCTAAACAGCATTTGCTACACTTGTAAATTCAGATAACACCAAATGGCTAACTACCTTCAAATCATTCTTTATATTTCTACTATATATAGTCTTCTCTAATAGGGAACACTACCTACCAGAAACAGTACTGGCAAGATGTTTTTTTCTCACTGATCAGAATCGTAACTAGCATATATGCAGTTGACAGTAGCCTGAAACATGAAGGTTTCCTGACCCAAAGTCTTAAGAACTTTGTCTGAACACCATATTAACATTACTTTTCCACCGTATCTTCCTGTTTCACTTTGCATGAGAATAATGCAGTATTTGGTTTGGAGACTTACCATATGTACGAAGGCTAAAGTATTTATAAACTGGAGGAGGATCCTCATGACCATAGAAAAACAGTTCCAGTGCCCATCTTCAAGAAGGAGGATCTGAGAAACTACAGGACCAAAAACCTAGCCTCAATCCCCAGGAAGATTATAGAGCAAGTCTTCCTGAAAGCCATTTCGAAGCACAAGAACCATAGCAGGATGACTGGGAATGGGAGAATGGATTTACCAAGGCCAAACCACACCTGATGAACACGACCGCTTTCTACAACAAGATGACTACCTGTTCAGGCAAGGTAAAAAAAAAAAAAAAAAAAAAAAAAAAAAAAAAAAAAAAAAGTGACGTCTGTTTAAGGAAAGAAAAAAAAAAAAAAAAAAAAAAAAAAAAAAAAAAATCGGCGGATGTAATTACGTTGACAAAGTCTCCCACCAAGGTGGACAGAAGAAGTCCAACCGGGATGCAGACTGCCAGAGATGTCTCCATCTGCTGATATTAGATCCAGTACTGTTTGATGTATTTAATAGAACTCAGGAAGTTCACATTTTGCTTTGCTTTCACACACAGCTTTTGCCTTCTGTATTAAACTGTCTTTATCTCAACCCACGAGTTTTCTCACCTTCACCCTTCTGTTTCTCGCCCCCCCGCCCCATCCCACTGGGGTCAAGCTGCCTACTGGGGTTAACCCACAACAACAGTTATATGCTGAAAAGGAGGGCTCTTATTTAGAGGGAACTAACAGACTGAAAAACCAGGCTGACAGGAACCTCACATCAAGTTCAACAAATGCAAACACAAAGTCCTACGCCTGGGACAGAATAACCCCTTGCAACAGTACAGGCTGGGGACTGACAAAAAATTCAGTTAGGTACAAGAATTTAAAAGAAAAAAAAAAGAGAAGAGAGCATGACGATGGTCAAACACATAAAACAAGTTGCTCAAAGGGGTTGTGAAGCTGAACAAGCCTCAACACCATGATCTAATTGCACCTGCTTGATGCAGGGGAGTTTGACCAGATGACCTCCAGAAATCCAGTGCAAACCAAGTTAGTTAAGAATTCTATCCAATTACAGATAACATCCCCAGAAATAAGACATTAAAAAAAAAAAATGGGCTGTTCTACCAATAAGATCTATTGGTTTTAAGTGAGACAAACATTACGTCTTAAGATCAGTTACATAAATCCAAAATTAGGTTTGTAGCTTGTGCTTTGAACCACGTAATGCAAAAATCCTGTTTAAGATTATGGCAAAAGCAGCAGCATCCAAAATTATAAAATAAATCCAGAAGACAGTATTTTCTGTATTTAATCTTTATTCTTCCACCAGCTTAGCATAGTCTTAGACAAGTCAATTCATCTTTCTCCCTTACAGCAAAAGTTTTCTGCCTCAGAAAGAGCAAGTAACAGTGAACTGAAATTGTTCTTCCTATTGAAGTGAGAATTTCCTGCATGGCAAGACTAACCATTCATTGAAAGTTGCAACTATGTTAACTATGAAAATCAACAGAACAAACCTCAGAGTCACAGAATCACTAAGGTTGGAAAAGACCTGTAACATGGTCCAGTCCAACCATCAACCCAACATTACCATACCCACTATACCATGTCCTCAAGTGCCAGGTCTAACTCCTTACATAAAACCCATAGTCACTGACAAATAGCTCTTAAGTATTTCACCCATCTTCTTCGTACATTAAGAATTAGCGTGATTTTGTTTTTGGTTTTTTTTAATGGCAGACACTAGGAGACAGGAAAAAAAGAAAAACTAAAGTGGCAGCAATCATTCTGCTAATTGATCACTGTCATCAACTAGATATAAAGTATGATTTGTCCTGCCTAGTAAATAACTGACGACAGCAGATTTTTATCCATCACCCAACATACAATTACAGTCCACTAATAATGGCTTAGAAGTCAAAGAGAACTTAATTATTTAAGAACTATGGAAAATACTTTCATTTGTCTACTTCTAGATAAACTTCAGGAAAAATACTGTGAAATGTATTAGTCTGATTGTGTATTGGCATATAAAAATACATGGCTATAGAAATAGTACCCACCAAAACAGCATGGGTATACACTGGGAATACAGTGTTAAGGTGGTCTTGCAAACAAAACATGGAAGCATAACATATCATAGCTTAAAAGACTTGAGCTAACCATATTACAATTTTTTTTTTAATTATTTTCAAATTCATTATGAATACTGGGTAAGTAATTTCATTTTGTATCAAAGGCTTGTGCTGGTTTTAGTCAGGAAAGAGTTAACTTTTTTTACAGTGGCTGGTATGAAGCTGTTTCTGGATTTACCCTGATAAAAGTACTGATAAGGTATCTCAGGTTGCCCAGAGACACTGTGGATGCCCCATCCCTGGAAGTCTTCAAGGCCAGGCTGGACGAGGCTTTGAGCAACCTGGTCTAGTGGAAGGTGTCCCTGCCCGTGGCAGGGGGGTTGGAACTAGATGGGCTTTAAGATTCCTTCCAACCCAAACCATTCTATGATTTCAATTATCTTGACAATTTCTAAATTTAAAAATATAAGTTTAATCCCAGAATTCCATTCCAAAACAGAGTAACTTAGAAAAAGTCACAGCGAGGGTTATACTTGAGAAGATATTACAGATCAATGTACAGGAAAGGATTTCTGAGAAAAGAATTTGAGACTATTTAGGAAAACAGACTGACTAGCAGATTTTTCAAACATCTAGACGTGATTATCTCCAAGATATACAGATGCAGGGTACTTTTAGCAAATTCCTGAACCTAAGCATTTGAAGGACAGGTGCCTCAATAGCATTATCTTTTTCTAGGTCAGCAAGAACTCTGGTAGTTAGTGCCTTAAAGTCAACATTGGCTGCAAAACATGGTGTTCCCATTATGTACTAATCTTAATTTCTTGATAAATAACACCACTACTGCACAGGAAATAATTTCCTAACTTCATTTTTGGTAATCAGTAGGGGTGGGACAGTTGGGGAAAAATCCATATGACATTCAAGAAAATCCTCTGACAAAAAGAACTTTCATTCTCAAGAACTACTATAACATGTCTGCGGTCCTAAAGGCTACAAACAAACAGGTACTCCAAGCTGTGATTCCGTCAAACTCAAAGAAATAAGAACCATACACACTCAGTGCATTCATTCTGCAAGTTTCATTGGCATGAAAATCACAACTTAAACTTTTCCTAATATTCTATCACTTGCTGAGGTGCAAGGGTTGCCTAACCTAAGTTTTTAAACAAAATCAGTTACTCAGTGCTGGCATGATAATTAGTATTTCTCAGAAAGACACTTGCAGGCGATCAGTGTTTATAAGCTTAACACTTGTGAAAGCAGTTTCTTTATAAAATCCCTCCTTAACTGACTTGCTATAACCTTTGAACCATGCATTAAACCATTATGAGCATATCACACCCTCTTACATATAGATGAGGATAAATGCTGCTCTAGGGACCATAAACATGTTCTTATCACAGCAAGCTAAATGGAGGTAAGTAAGTTAATGAGTGTAACACAATTGAACAATTTATACATGCATAGGTCACTTCCAGTGGGAACATGCCATAATTTTTTAATCCTTTTTACGGTTTTGAGAAATCAGAGATTGCCAAGAAAGCAAAAGCAGCAGAATAAGTATCAATCCAGCTGCCAGAAGCAAGGTAGTAAGAAAGTGTATTATGGAGCAAGAGTGCAGGCAGGTTTTTTTTAGCTGCTAAAATTGAGACAGCTGTATTAGCTTAAAAACAAACTTTGGATGCTTGTTTTTACTTCACTGTCCATGTGTGCACTCCTAATACTGTTATCAGATATAAACAAACTTCTAGCTTTAGGACATGACCAGAAAAATCTCATGCAAAGGAATGCTGCAGACACGGAAAGTCCCAGAGTGATAAGTCCCAGTGTAAAAGTTCAAGTTCACCTGAAATTAAAACTGATTGCAGACCTATGTTCTTTCTGACTTTGAAGATGCACATGCAGATTAGTTAGAAGTCTCCTGTCATTTGCTAGTGCTAAGATAAGAAGTCTGAAGTACAGCTTCTAACTGAACAATTGAAAGAAATGATGGAAGAGTGGTAAGGTTACCTTATACATGCACTACACTGAAAGAAAAGACAAAGACAGGAAGAGTAGTCAGTCACCACTGTACATGATGATGACAAAACTGAGAATGCCTAGGAAGTACGAAATAATGCAAACTTCTCAAAATGGATGTTAAGGTTTACTTACAGAAATGAACCAATAAGCAATGTGTAAAACTCCTCCCTTCTCCCACACTTACCCGACTACCTCAACAGCATCATTAAGAATGGGATCAACTATCATGTCCCGTGCAATGTTCCAATCTCCATCCGCAGCGATGATGCCAATGTTCCTTAGACCCAGTCTGTCCAAAGATTGTCGAAGTACCTTAGTAACAGATAACACTACTTAAAGGACAGCCTTCATCAACCAGGCAACATGATAATTTAAGACTGAAAACAATTTAAGAACTGTAGGAGGAGTCAGTGAAAGTATTTGTCTTCAAACTGAGATGGATATGAAAAGTTCTTAATTCTCAAAGAGGAGCCATAATGAAACTTAGACAAAGTCAATGATTATTTTTAACACTGAACGGTTATCTATGACATTCAGATAGCCCTTACACAAAAATAGGCTTCTCATCACTTGGATTACTTTTGACACCCCATGGGCACATGTACTCCATTCAGACATTCTCAACATACTGACTCCATCCTGTGCATGCATGTAATTCGTTACAGTAAATTCATTACTCAGATGTAAAGTCAGTCATGTCAAGCTAATCTCCAAATGATGACTGGCTGGAATGTGGAAGTGGACATACACCTCCACAAATGATCAGAAGTGAAAGTTAACCTGATCCCCAAAAAAGCATACAGAGAAAACAGGGACTGAAGTTTTAAAATAGGCAAGGCTTGTAATGAATGATGTAGTTCTCTACGAGAACAGAAAATTTTTGCCAAACATCTGTCCTTTTCAAGTGAAGGGCACATAAGCATTGTTTTCACAAGCTATTTTACTGACAAAAAAAGCCCCTAACTCGATTCTCTAACTGTTTGATGTTTAAGTTCACCCACTACTTGGCTCTCATATGTCTCTCTAATTTTCAGGAACATAATGACATAATGCATAAAACTGAAATTGCATATTTACAACAAAACTGAGGGCAATCAAGCTTGAATTCAAACATGCTAAGTGAAGAGAAATTAGATTGTCTTTCCAGCTTCTCCTTACTATTTCACTGTCAAAGATGAAAAAACTCTCACATCTGCCCATGAACTTCTTAGAGAAAATATACCCAGACAAAATATACCCAGCTCAAGCTGCTAAGAATAAACCAGGTTTATACAGGGCTGGTATTATACAAGCATGTTTCAACTGAACACTCAATAAAGAAAAATATTAGAGTATCTGAAAAAAGGACATCAGTCCACAGTCTAAAATCCTTTTTCCAATCTTGGATATAGAGGAATGATGTACTCTGTGTTGTGTGTATAAGAAACATTTTTCCAACCATTTGAAGATCAGTAAGCATGAATCCTTAAATAGTTTCTTGTAACAGCCCTCCTGCACTGTGAAGGAGAATAGGGAGCACTTCCATTTTGACGTGTAGTCAAATAAAGACAGAAAGCAAAGTCCAAGTGTTGGTGAGTGCAAGCCTAGATCTAAAGGACATAAATCTTACGAAGAAGAAGAGAAGTAGCAATAAAGTTCCATTCAGCTGCTTGAAGCCTTTGAAGCATAAAGTTTACCACAAGAAAATTTCATAATGATAGAAATACTTACAGTAAGTTCCTTACAATTTAAAGCTTGCTAGCTAGCTAAACATTCAGGAAAACTGCCTAACCACAGAGCTAGTTCAGAAGAATAAAATTACTAGAAAGGTTGCAGAATTTCCATGTGGAAAGGTAAGTGTCTACAGAACTGCAGACACTCAAAATGCACTCCATAATAACATATGAAGAATGATTCTCCCACCCCAAATATTCATGTTTATACTCATGAAGTGTTAGGGTTAGTTTAAGATGACAGTATTTAAGAACATAATTGGAAGAACAGGATCTTCTTGAATAAGAATTTATAGGCAATAGAATCATCATTTCTTTTTTCCTTTATTCTACTTAGTAAAAAAACTAACTAGTGCCTTAGTGGATGA